TTTAGATGGATTTTTGTGGCTTTTCCAACTGATATTTTTCTCCAGTATATTGTATTGTATATTGTTCAATTAAATATTTAGTTTTTATATTTGTTTAATGACTATGTTAATAACGATACGTGCACAAAACAAGTTTTATATATGGGGGCGACAGTGGCTCAGTTGGAAGAGCATTGGTCTTTGGACCTAATAGTCGTGGGTTCAATCTCACCATGACCCATGTCATCTGCTCCCACTGAAGTCTGCTGTCATTGTGTCCCTGGGCAACACACTTAACCCCACTTTGCCTGAAGCCCTTCAATGTCTTCATTCAAGGAGCAGCCATCTTCCTGTGGACCCACCACCTGCAGGAGGATCAGTGAAAGTGGCAGCTCTGATAACCACCCCTGACCCAGAAGAAAATTAAATGAAAGTGAAAAAAAATGTACACTTCAATATATTCAATCAGATAATGTCATTCTGTAAGATAATGTCTGCATGTATTGGTTTTATCACTCATTTTTGGCCTCTATCACATCTTCAGTCAAGCTTTTTGTGTGTGATAAAATCAGAGGACCACCCTCAGCTAATCAACACTCAGAAAGTATGCAAAATATCACATGTTATGGTCGGATTTTTATTTTGCAAGATCATCTCATCCCAGCTTTAACCTTTGACAGGCAGACACAGTGACAGATGGCAACAGTGGATGTCATACATTTAAAGAGGTCATTTCTGGAGGTAACAGGAAAGACTTTGTAGCGGTGTGCAAAAGGCCCGGACAGGAAGAGGTACGGCCAACATGACTTAACACGCAAAAGGAAACACAAAAAACCACAGTACTGCTTTGGCTCATTATAAATTCACCCTTTTTTCCTTGGTCTCTTCTTGCCTTTCATCTAATTTATGGATTATTTTAATTAGACCAGTGATATAAGACGCAGACTTGCCTAATGAGGGGAAGTACACTGATATGAATTCTGTAAAGTTGCACAGACAGACAATAATAGAACCAGACAGTGTTTATGTTGGCTTCCCCTTTTTGGTTTATAATTGTATTTTTAGTTCAATAGTTCTGACTCTACACAGTGGGGCGACAGTAGCTCAGTTGGTAGCTACAGGCCTGAAGGCCAAGAGCATTGGCCTTCAGGCCTGAAGGTTGTGGGTTCAATTCCCACCTTGACACCTTCTCCACTGACTCCCACTGATGACTGCTGTCGTTGTGTCCTTGGGCAAGACACTTTGCCCAAAGCCCCCACTGAAAGATCAAGGGTATGCTCACACTCAGAAAGCAGCTGTCCTCCTGTGGACTCACCACCTGCAGAGGGTCAGTGAGGGGCTGGTGCTATGAGACTTGGGTGGCATCTCTGATTGCCACCCCCCTGACCCAGAAATGGATTAAAGGGTAGAAAATGGATGGATGGGATGGATGACTCTACACAGTTTGGTCATCACTAAATGAAATCAATCTTGATTGGGTGTCATCAGGTTTTGTGTTGTTCAACCAGTGTGCCATGGCCTGTTATTATGGCTTGGAAATTATAAAATATTACTTAAATGGCAAAATAGTAAAAAAAATAAAAAAATAATTAAAAAAAAGACAATGTAAGAAGATAATGAGAGAAAATATCAAATGTCTTTTTTTTCCCCTCTCATGTACATTTATATGATATTGACATTGCATTGTTAATTTAGGCTATAGAGTTTCATTTTTGAGACATTTTCAGCTGGTGGGGTGCAACGTGATTTATGTCAATGGAAAAGGTGTGCCACGTTCTGTAAAGGTTTGGGAACACTGCAAAATTATAACACAATTATGACACTAAAGTCAGCATTTCCACAGAGACACGCTGATGGTGCCTTAACAGCAAGTACTTGTTAGATCTGCTCTTCATAAGAATGCATGCTATTCAACGGATTTTAAGCGAAAAAATATAGTTGTAGTCAATGAAGTAAATGAATGCCATGCTCTGTGGCAAATTCCAGGAAAAACATCTCCAAAGAGACATGTGGAGCCGGCACAAGCACAAAAATCCAAGGCACTCTGGCTAGAAAATATGAAAAAAACTTTAGTATTATGGCTAATACTTGGTTTAAAATCAAAAGCTATTACATGCTTTTATATACAACGAATAATGATAGAATAAAGTGTATTTCTGGATGTTTTCATGACCAACATGTGTGCACCTTACTCAACTGGACTGGAGCCATTAGTTTGATACAACAAGCCCTTACTTAGCATCGCAGACACAACAATGGGGGCTTCTATTATATATATTATGGCCTGGCTGCAGAATCGGGCATCAAAGGTACACACAGACACACCCTCGGCACACGCTGTTTGCTCCTTACAGCACATTCGACCACATAGGACATACATTTTTGCTTGGTGATTTTGCTCTGCGTGTATCGGTGTGGCCTGTGACTACAACTCCTAGACAGAGTACACAGGACGCGTTTGTCACAGGCCTGACACAGACTCTCATTCACTATATGAACAACTCATCTCACACATGACATCATTGGACCAGTGGAAAAGACCAGGACTCCCGACCCGAGCATCAAACTACGGATCTATACTAACTCAAAACATTTCTTGCGTGGCACCGAAACAAACACATAATTCTTTCGGTTCCAACAACTCTAAATTTTCTCAGGGCAGCTCTTTATCATTAATACTAAACTAATGCAAGGACCATATCTGTGAGCCAGATGTGTTGCAGGCAAAACTGTCCAAAGGGATGTCATTAAGTGAATTGTTTAACACTTGATACTATTAAACACTAGATTGCAAAGATTTATGCTCCCACTCAGCTTCTCAACTTTTGATGTATAACGCCTTTATTACAGATGTGCGAACACTAAACAGTGGAATTTGCAAGGGCTGTGTTCAAAACAGCCGTTCTTTCTGCTGTGTTTTCTCATAATTTGACGTTGAATGAAAGAGGAACCGGGCTTGGCAGCATCCTTTGGGGAGACTTGTTGTGAGTGATTGGCAAAAGGGATGGATCAAACGGGCACTTTGGTGAGGGGGCTGCTGCGCTTGTCTCTCCGCCTGTTTTTTTTTGCACACAAGCAAAAGAAGCAAGCTGCAGGGAGGAGGAAGGTGGTGCAACTCAAGTGATAAGGCGTTCAATAAAAACACACACTCCCCTGCTATCCCCAAATGTGAATAAATATGTTAAGGCAGAGAACAGAGGATGCAGAGGATGAAACGAAAAACTCACTGTCAACACATCTCTATTGGCGCATCCAGACATTAACAATATGCCATTAGAGTCCACTGTCCGTTGTTGATTACTAAACACTGCCGGTTTTGGCTCGTTTCCTGAAGTTACTGCTTTATTTCTGCCGCTTGGACTTGAACCAGTTCCTGCCAGCTATAAAGTGTCTGTGCGTGTGGAGTCATTATTGTAAATGTAAAGCACTTTTAACAGCTCCTGATGTAGCCTAGGGTCAGCTTTCTATCAGAGCCAGACCGTAAACAGCAGCACCTGCAGGAAAGCCATGCACTAAACCAGACAGCTATATGTATATGCGCTTGTCAGGTGGCTCACTCGCAACAGAACATATCGGTTAGAATTAAAGCTGGGGTATCTAACTTTCAATCCATTGAAGAAAAACAAATGACGCAGAAGTCTATATAAAATGTATCCATGTAATAACATTCATGTAACTAGCTCCTGCCTCGCAAAATAGTAAGATTCTATCTCTAGTTTTCAGATGTATGTATTTTTTGCCAGTCACATCTTCAGATCAGCTTTTTTGGACAAAAGTAAAAGAGAGAGGGTCAACACTCAGTCAATCAGCTTTCAGCCCACTGCGTCAAATAGTGACTTTATAGGAAGATAAATGCTGTGGACTGGTTTGTTCACTAAACTGTGTTATTACAAGTCAGTCTTTCAGTTGGAGCACACAAAATGTTTTATTTGTTAAAAGAAAAAGTTACATGTTGTTTATAAGGGTTAGGCTGGTCATACCACCATTATACAGATGCAGTATATGCAACATATTATAATTATGTTGAAACAGTATTCCTATATGATATATAAGTACAGAACTAATAAATAGCCATAGAATTGGCCTGTTAAACCTTTTATAGCAAAAATCTGTAGGCTAAGAAAATAGAATCCCTGTAAAAATTTACACATGACAAGTATGTAAAATACAGTGCTGCAAAGATGTTGCAATAGTGACTACAGCAGAACGTTAATTGACTTCCTGTTTATAACTTCAAAACAAAAGCTGATTTTTAAACATACATGTTTTAATGGCGGGAAATGGCTATACTGTATCTAAATAAGTACAGAGCCGTGTAGAGAACATCATTCTTCCTCATGGTACTGAAGCCTTAGATACGGAATTTACAAACAATAGTCAAATGAAATACAGGACAACAGAGAACTATGAAGCACAGTCATAACAGTTTTACAAAGTAATCAAAGTCATGAAAGGCCCTTTGAGAATGCAGGATGAGTGCATGAATAGTGTGCATGAAAATGGCGCAATAATTATAACATTCGAGAGCGTTAGTGTTAATCTCCTCTCCAAACCTACGCCTGCAGAGTTAAACAGATCCATGACAGGAATTTTAATCTCCTCAGTTGGTCCAGTGTTCAGCCAAAGACCTCGTTCTCAAACCAACGTTAAATCTTTTCACAGTAAACCTCCGCCGCTCACAGCAAACTTCAACATAACATGAGCGCACACGGCGCTTCACGCACGGAGCCTCACGCACGGAGCCTCACGCACAGAGCCTGATGCACAGAGCCTATAACGCGGAGGTTCTGGATTTATGTCCATTTAAGACACTAGTCCCGCGACCATTCGGACAGGCCGATAACATTGGGTGGATTAGCTATGAAGAGGCATGCAGCTGCATAAACCAAGTTCAATGCTCCACAATATCTTGGCTACGATATAAACACGTGCGTAAACTTGACAGAACTTGTATTCGCTCATCCTTTCCTTTGAACCAACCAGGCCTATGCCTATTGTTATGATAATAGCCCAAAAGTTACCTGCTTGGGTGGACATGAAGTGTAGTAGGATGTACATGAGCAGTTGTATCCTCCTGCGCTCTTTCCTTCTTAATAAACTGTCCATCTTCAAAGTGCAAGCGGAGCAAAGTCCGCCAACATGAACTTAGTTGGAACAAATGAAGCTGAAGCTAAGCATCCATCCGTGGAGAGGGAGAGTTTTGTGTAGTTCCAATTAGTTGGTCTTGTTGCTGAACTATTCTTGAGCATGGATGGACTCCACGCTGTCCTCAATCCCACTCATTCAATTTCTCCCTCAGCATCCCTCCCTCTGCTCTCGCCTCCGCCCCACCTCCGTCCTGTCCCGGGACGCGCGCGGCAGCCCCATAAATCACCTTTTACGCAGGATTATTTGCAGCTCTCACTTCTTAGAGGTGATTATTGTTGGACTGTAAATGGAAAGTGCATCGGTGTTTTAAGCAAGACTCAGAGCTGTCTGTTTAATACCTCAAATATCTCTGACATAATGTAGCCTCCGCGTAGAGCTCCTGCACGAGTGCTTTAAAGACATCCATAGAATGGCTTACAGTGAACTGCGATGGAAATAAGTGACCCCTGGCCTCCCAGACAGACTACAGAATGGTGGGGTCATGATGATCTGACCCACTGCATGAGAGTCACACAGACAATGTGACGCCATACTTGTTAATTCATCTTTATTTAGTGCCATTTACAATTCCATTTAATTGACCATAGGCGTTCAGATTCCTTAAACAGACTCTGTGGAGATGTAAAACCCTTAAGATATAAATTAACAAACAAAAACATCTCTGATTACCTTGATGATATCTCATATTAAAAATGTAATTAATTCTGGAAGACATTGGTAGGTTGAGACTCGCTTAGAGAGTTACGAGAGTATATTTGGAAAATCACCAAGGATAATGTTTTGAGTCCAAGCTCGAACAGGCTTACAAGACTGAGGGCTAAAAATGCTACATAAGTACATAAAGGGAGCCACAGCCAAACTTTCATCTCTCAAAGGAGAGTCGTCTGCCATCACCAGAAGAAACACGCCTGACAAAAAGCCAGCTGAATTAAACAGAGCTGAGCTGGACAATTGAGATGGATCCGTAGGGTAAACAAGAGCACCCCTGACCCTGTGTCGCCTGTCCTCTGTCAGAATTAGGCCCACATTCCTCCCACTTTTTAGCAGATAGTTACTAAGAGTCCAGTGACTAGTTTGAGCACTCAGCGAGAAATATTTCCTGAGTATGTGTTATGTGCCTCTCCCAAATACTGGACTAAAGCGGAGTTCATTTATCTTCAGCCCCTTCAGCCGTGACAGTCAATGCTATTGAGAAATACCTCTGACAATAAACATATGCGTCTTTATCATAAATTCGAAAGGACAGAATGATGAATGAATGTGAATACACACTCAAATTCACTCCCTTCTGCTCTAATCGAGTGGTCCCCATACAGCTCACTACCACTCGCTGCAGATGTGCAGTGAATTCAGACGTGCAAAAACATCAGATAAGAAAAGAGAAGCCTTATTCGTCTCAGAGTTGGACAATTTCAAGGATGCAAAGCACAGTTCAAGAAACGCAGGGAAAAAGATTAGATAAGATCTTGAAATATAATACAGGAAGCATTCCACATTAATTAACTTTTAAATTAAATAATAACTATCATAATCATGCAAAGGTATCATGACTGTTTTGTTCAGAGCTGCACATGGACATGAGAACAGATAAGTGACTAGTGAGAGGTCAGAAGAAATAATATGATGCACATTTGGACATTTTTAAAACCAAAGTCAAATCAGAACACCAACAGAGGGATCAAACCTCCTCAAAGTTTTGATTTATTTTAATTGAAAAATATGTGTCATCCACTTCTTCAGAAAAAGAGAACAATATGGTGTATATTATGGATGTATTTATATATTTGTAATGTATGCATTGATCTGGTTTGACTTGGCATAAACTGAAAACACATCCATGCATACATTGGTCTAAGTGGACACCAAACCAATGAGACTGGTTAACACGATCAACTGGTGGACTTCACCAATGACTTCTTCAGTGTGGGTGTTGGTTATAGTGGGAACTCTGACAGCAATGTAATTCCCTTTCACACCTCAAGTCCATCCCACAGAACATGTCTGGACAGGACTTCAGACCCCAGGGCAGAGCGAATATGAAGGCACGTTTAAAAAGCAGCATGTAGCTGTGTCTTTCTTCTTGTCTCTGAAGATTTACGAGTTCAAGAATGGATTTAACCTCATGTATGTTACATTTTCCTGACAGTAACCTATGGGCATGTCGTATGTAGTGTTTTCTATTTACCATAACAGGATTCCCAATCAATTATAACTCCCAGTATGATGTTGGGTTGGCTCAGCATCACCCAACCAATTACAGATTTGTATTTACTGTATTTGAAAACCAGGTCAAAATTCCAGGACAAATATTCCCACTTGGACAATCCCAGTTGTTTATTCTGAAGATATTAATTCATAAAATGTAATTGGATTTTCTCTGAACTAATAGTTTAAAAGTATTCGTATTTATCATAATCCCCAGACTAACAAGGCAGATTGAGGCTAACCAGAGTAGTGCCGGTTTAGTACCACATTTTCAAAAAGTTGTTTCACCTACATTTCCTTGAAGATTTCAATAGAGGCTCATGACGTGAAATCTGTTCCCTGATTTCCTTGACAAAAATATACATTGCTATTGTACCTTTAAGTCATAGCTCTGCGGTAGACTTCAATGAAATCTCAGTGCAAAAGATCACTGGAAACTAATTACTAATGTTTCTGCTCTAGCACCAATTATAGCAAGTATTTCAACATGTCCCTCTGAGGCATACTCAGGAAGCTGGAGAATATTCTGTGTGTATGGCCGGTCTGTTAAGCCATGCTATGACCCTGTCGCATCAGCAAAACCTCACGCTACATTGACTATAAATGAAAAGTGAACTCTCTCATGTACTGTATTTCTGCATTCTGTCTTTTTGGACCGCAAGAGGATCTGCCAGTCCGGCGATAATTATAGTGATTAGAGATGGCGGTAGACTAAGCTAATTAACATCTAAGGACCATGTCTATTTGACCTGCTCAAACAAATAGACTAAATACAGCCAGGCAGCAGGCACACTCAAAGCTACATCGCTCTCCGGTGTCGCCCACAGAAAAAGAGAAAATATTAAAAATCATTTAAAGCTGGTCCCCTGCATTTTTTAGAGTCGTAAGAAGTAAAAATATTATTCAAAATATTCAAAAATAGTAGTGATGGCTTCAAAAAAAAATCAGCATTTAGGAGACAAAAATATATTCACGTTTACAAAAATTGTAGATATTTAAATTTGGGGTACACCACTTTTATTTTTGTTAAATTCAGTAAAAAAAAAAAAAAAATCTTTATACATTAGACCACAACAGGCATTCTTTGTCTATAGTGGGAAACATTTTATCTTCTGCATACTTGAACAAACCCTCTATGGACACTTTTGATACAACTATGGTTAAAGCTGAATTTTCCATTACAACATTATGCAGACGTTTTGGTCATCTGAAGGTCAAAGCTAACATATGTTTTGGCGCCGTCGCAGATACTCAGAGAAATCACTGCTTCTGGTTTGAAATCACATGCTGCAAAACTCTGGTTGTTCTCTTTATCAACAATAACATGTTCTACTGCAGTGACACGATTCCAGACCTCTGTATCTTTTCTCATTTTCTTCAGCTCTGAGTCACTTTTTGATGTTTGGGCCTCGAGCTGATTGGCTGAGAGAGGGTGGTCCTATCTTTTTAACTTTTCTGTCTGAAAAATAAGCTGTCATAATGATTGGATAGAGGTCAAATCGCATGCAGTGATTGCTTGACAATGAAAAAGTAGTTTGATGGATTTTACTGTACCTACATAGTTCCAGTTTTAGTTACACCAGCTTTGAATGAAAAAAGGTAAATGATAGTAAGTAAGTGAGTAATTTTTATTTATATAGCGCATTTTTACAGACCATGGTCACCCAAAGAGCTTTACAACGTTCAGAGTTCAGATATTGTCTCATTCACTCCACACATGAACTGAATGGAACTGGAATCATCAATGAATAATCAGTTTTGTGTGAAAAAACCTTGCACCTTCCTTAGTCATTTTGATAAACTGTGAGACTGTAGCACACCCTTCATGTTATGGTCTGAATTAGAAGACTTTTTTTTTTACGGTGGTCACTTCAGCTCTTCCTGAAAGCTGTCTTTGTAGAATGTCATTGTGTGTGGTCCACAGCTGCCTCCAGATCAGAAACAACTCACTTTGCTGCGTCCGACTCCTCACGTGTTATTTTTAAGCTAAACCTTCTTTGAGCTATTTCTCACTCACTCTCAAAACACGTTTAAACCATTTTCTTTTTTGGGTTTTCTACACAACAGACCCCGAGCGTCTCTTTGTATTTTCTCCTATTCTTGTCACATTTGCATTCCACACATCACGGCACAAAAGAGCAGTAGGCGTCAAACATTCCAGTCTTTAAAAACACATATTTGATACAATTCACAACTTTGCAAAGGTGCAACTGTGCGGATCGTCTGGGGGTCCGTCTCCTTGGAGATTTGTACGCGGTAACACGAGTCATATTTCTATTTTGTAGATGTAAAACATATCTAACTATACCCAATATATTTCTTTTCAAAACAATTCATTAAAAAGCATCCACAAACTTTTTTAAGTCTCTCATTATTGGCTCGAAACTGAAGTAATTTGTACTCGCACTTGTATATTTTCTTTTACTCATACAGCAAAAGTGTTGGTGAGTAACTATCAAATATTATTATTATTATTACTACACTTTTTGAGCGAGAACCCGTAATGGCCACAACGAGTCAGTTAGATGATGTTATGAACATTTTGGGAGAGAAATACAACAATACAATACATGTCTTCAGCACTGAAACCCTCATGATCGATCAAAAAATCCCTCAGGGGCCACACAGTAAGAAATTTTTTTATGCTTTTTTATATATAAACTAAGATAACAAATTGAATAGACCATATTTGTAAAAAAAAAAAAAATAAATAAATAAAAAGGTTGTATTCATATAGTAATTCCAACCATATATTTGTAGGTTTGATATCATTCTCAGTTGTGATGGCATAGTTTGAGGGGCCCCCTATAAAGTGTCTCTGAGGACCCCCAGTGGACCCCAGACCCCAATATGGGAGGCACCGAAATATAGGGCAATATGTTTAATAGATCCTCCGCAGAGGTCTGTGTTCATATAAACTGGCATTTTACTCCGCAGTGTCGTGTAAATGTTCTCCCTGTTCTGTTGTGCCGTATCCATGGAAAATGTTTATATCACAATAAACACTTACATCAATCAAGTGGCAGTTTGTGAACAATGACTTCGAAAGCAAATAACTTCACTTGACACAAAATACCATCCATAATGCAGACACACATTTCATGTCAAATGCGTTTCAAGTAAAAGCTGTTTTGACATGATTTGCCGACACCAGCTCAGGGAATCAAACACTTCAAGGACAACAAATGCAACGAGAACAAACACATAGAGAGCCGTTGGTCCATGGGGAGCAGGACGACCAGTGTAATAACTGGTGGGGGGGGTTGCAGCCCACGAGTCGAAGCCGGGGGACACCAGTGCACAGTTGCAAATGAAAGTGGCCAAAAGCATGTGTTCTATCATCACGCCATGACACAGACAATGGGACAGTGGGTGAATAGCAATGAATAGACTACAGGTGAAGTCCTAATGATGACAGATAAAGTAGGAATGAGGAGAGGATAGTGCTCAGGTTACCATACTTCAACCAGCAAAGTGTGTAGCTTGACTGATAATCTGTGTTTGTTTTATTTGAGGTTGTAATTCTTACCTGAGTCTCACCTTTCCAGCAATATGCTGAGCGTCAAATGTAGAGATGTCCACCAAACACTTTTCCTCTGGCGGTTTGAAAGCGCAGTGCTCGATTTGGTTGATATGATTGGAGGTAGGAGGGAGCCATACTATTTATGGCCTTGTATTTTAAAGAATTAATTTAATTCTATACTCCACAGGAAGTCAGTGGAGTTATTTCAACACTGGAGTTATGTGTTTCCTCCTATTGGGTGCCTCTTAAGATCCTTGCTGCTGTATTTTGGCTGAGCGGGAAGCTTTTATAGAGGATTTAGGGCACGCTTCAAGCAAATCGTTATGGTAGTCAACCTTGAGGTGACAAATGCGTGAATCAGTTTTCTGCATCACTTTTAGGAAAAATACTCCAAATTTAATGTATGTTGTGCTGATGGAAATATGCAATCTTAGTTGCTTGATTTATACGTGCCCTGAAGGAGAGTACTTGGTCAATAATGACTCCAATATTCCTCACAGTGTTGCTAGAGGCCATGCTAACATTATCGAGTGTGATTATCTGATCAGCAAGACAGTCACACAGACTTTAGGGGCCGAGTAAGATTACTTGTTTTTTCTGGGTTGAGGGGCTGGTAGTTTAGGATCATCCATTGTTTTTAGGTCTTTTATGCAGACATTAAGCTTCTCTAAATGATCTGTCTGATTTGGTTTAATAGGCAGGTAAAGCTGTGTATCATCTGCGTAGTGGTGGAAGTTAATGTTATGCGTTCTAATGATGTTGCTTAATGGCAGCATATAAAGTGCGCTATTTCATTGTGCGATAATATGCAAGCATGTAGAAGCCACTACCTCCTCCTCCAGTCTCTGCATGCCTTCAGTTTTTCTATGTTTTGTGGCCACGTTTTTTGAAATTCCACAGAAATAGCTGGAGGCTTCTGTGTCCAGCAGCTTTTCCATCACTGCCCACTGCCCACACCTGCGGACAGGAAACACCATTGACCTTTACTCAATCCCAGTCTTATAATAATGTACAATACAACTTAGAACGGCATGTGTCTGCTTCAAAGGAGAAAAGTGTTTTAGTCGCACAACATGAACAACCAGTTACAAATCCAGACTTGGCCATTGTGACTGCTGAACTGAGTGAGTGACGATTGGCAAAGATTACAAACAAGTGTTCAGAAACCTTATCACAACAAGCAGGTGCATTCTCGCAACAAAATAGCAACTCCTCTTTGGGAGGACAAAATGGGGAAAACGACTTTCACTTTGGAAATGGGCCAATTGTAGTTTGAATCTTTGAATATTTTGTATTTCTTTTCTTTTTTTATAACCACAACATTCATTGATTTGCATTAGTCCAGTTACACAGTCTACTTCGGTGATTCTGTATGGAAGGATATTATGTGGGCGAATCTGAAAATCATACAATATAATAAGTATTGTATAATATCATAGATCAATAGATTTTATCTGACTTATCCTCAAGTTTACTTCCTTGTGGTAACAGTGCATAATCTAACCCTAACCTATACCCAGGATCCTTAGAGACTAAAACTCAGATCACCTTTTTAAACTGAGGAGTCCTGAGGAGACTGGTTAGACAAGGCTGAGCTGGTCTTCCAGTACTTTATAGAAATCGTGTTGCTCCTGTTGAATAGGTCTTTACTGTGTGGATTTTTGAGCATATTCAATATATTGTTGTACTTACACAACAAAATATTGACGTCTAAATAAATACATTCAAACCTAAAATGTTTACTGATGTTGAACAAACTTTGGATTCCACGTGTGATCTGATACCTTATCAGGTGCACTTTGACCACTGACAACCCATTACGTCACAGCCATGACGATTCGATCATTTGAATGTGGTGAACTCATTATTATAGATCCATGGGTGAACTCCAGTAAACAGCTGAACAGATGTGCACAAGATCTACCACCATCTATTCCAATGATGTGTGAGGTTACCAGCAGATGGCAGTGTAATGCAGTGCATTGAGACAGTGGCTTCAGTGAAACCATAGTGTCCATGAACACAACATGTATCGAGTGTTAATCTATTTTGCTAAAGTAACTAACACTATTTATACCATAACCATATGCACCACTATTCTACATTGACTTTAACCCTAGTGGAGGGGCACCATGAGAAATAGACTAAACTCGCACATAAATGCTTGGGACAAGCAGAGAAGGCCTGAATTCAGGGTGAGAATAACCAACCTCAGTCACAGTAAGCTCTGCCCCTTTGTGACACGCGCGTACGTGCGCGCACTGCAACATGGAGCTATTTTAAAGACTTTTCTCCTGTTTGCAAAGCTGACACCTATGCACACGTAAACGTGCTCTGCGGAGGTGTCGAGGACTGTCGTTTTGGATGTTGCTTTTATGGACCATGTGACTGAATTAGGCGCTCACATGGCCCAGCGGCTGCATGATCCGCTTTAGTTTGGTAAAGTCCGGGAACAGGAGCAAACCCGAGCAGCGACCGTCGGGAGCACAGTCTGGAGAAATCATGGCGAGCAGCGGCCACAAAGTTGTGCTGATCACCGGCTGCTCCTCCGGTATCGGGTTACGGATCGCCGTCACGCTGGCCAGAGATGAAAAGAAGCGTTACCATGGTAAATGCTCTTTCCTTTGCGTTGATTATTAGATGAATGTCGAGCTCCCTGCAGTCCGTATACATGTTTACCTTCTGTGCAAAGGTAAAGGTTAATTGCTCCATGCCCTTTTCCACACTGAGTGTTCTTTGGTTGTGTTTTCTGTTATTTAGTGGCGATGCTTGAAGGATCCGCCATTCATTCAGTCAGTCTTAGTTAAGAAAGATGTGATTACTATCATCAACATATACCTCCTTTTATTTAAATGATTATTATGACTTGAAAGCAGTCTCGCTGCTGTTCCAAGGGGATGCACTCGCAGGCGGAATCATAAAAGGGGGCTTGTCAGTTCTCTTTCAAGTGACTTCTCCCGCACAAAGCCCCCTTTTATGGACCTGAATTGTAGACCGCCCGCTCCGGTTTAGTGCCGTGTCTAATGTGACTATAGTCCCTCAGTGCGCAGAGTGTTGGAAGAGGGACAAAGTTTGAGACCTGTACAAGCGAGAGTTCACTGTGAACCAGGGCCTGCTATTAAGTCTTCACTTCTCATCTGAGCTTCTGGGATGTTCCAGTGACACACCAGCCTCCTCTGCAGCGTCCCAAACCTCATCAATGTCACCTGGACTCAAAAGACATAATGTCATCATAGGTGTTGACTGTCTTCCTTTTCAAATCCCCCTTCTCATAATCTGCCATACTGTGACTTGTTTCAGGGGAGAAGACCATATAGTTGCTACAGCCCCAGAACCCCCAGAATACTTAAATATCTGCAATGTGGCTCTTTCAAGAATGCATAAAGCTGCCCAGGAGCTATTCCTGAAGGAGTCAAGGAACAATGGGGCTCTTGTTCAGATCTCAACCAATGTGTAAATCTCTTTGTTGCTTCACAGACACACTGTTTGTTAATCGTAAGATTAGACTTCATTAGATTTTAACATTGTGCATTGTTATGTGGTGCTTGAACAAGAATCTTGTCCATTGTATGTTTCACTGAAACACTCACACTGGGGCCATCGTCTGCCTTTCCTCTGCTCATCCTGTTTACAAAGGAAACAGGGAGAACTCCATCTAGAAGCGACATGTCATTATAGCTTGTTTACAAGAACTATTGTTTTCTATCTAGTTTTATGGACGTGAACAGAATCAGCTGGTCATCATTTGCTGATCACTGCTTCTGTTTTGTGATCTGACTGTTGTGCAGACATTGTTCTTGGTGTTGGGTTCAAAGAGCAGGTTATGAGTGAGTGCTCAGTAAACCGTAGCCACTTCTGGGAAGTTTGACCCTGGAGCCGAAGCTGCACTCTGAGCACATACCAGTACAGTGCACCAGAGACACAGTGTGGCACTTTGCACTGGTCAGGTTTCACTGTCCCATGCCTCACTCAGCTGAAAGCTTTTCAGCAACATGTGAAACTATGGACAAACCTCATCTTTTTATTCTTTCATTCATATATGTTGAAGTTGGACTCAACAGGCATATTATTGTGGCTTAACCTTTGCTCTAACCATATATAAATCATAAGATGCTATGGGGTGTAAGATAAGAACCTAGAGAGGAAAGAAAATGTTCCCACGTTGTAATACTGTAATAAATAATTTGTGTCTCTTTCAGTTATCGCCACAATGAGGGACCTAAAGAAGAAGGACAAACTGGTTGAGGCGGCTGGTGATGTATTTGGGAAAACTCTGACGCTGCTCCCTCTGGACGTGTGCAGTGACGAGTCTGTCCAAACCTGCATCAACAGTGTTAAAGACCGCCATATTGACATTTTAAGTGAGTGCATCTGCATGTAGACACATGTTCCCAAACCCACACATTACCTCAAGACACACTGTTCTGAACTGAACTGGACTGTTACTCAATCACAACCAAGAAAAGAAAACCATGCCATATTTTGAATCAGCTTATCATGCACGATGCAACTAACATTTGCATAATGCACTCATTTTCATTGGTTTTGTTCTTTAAAATAGGAAATCATTGTTCATCCCACTGAACCTTTTACCCCATTACACAAGACTCATGTAATTTTGTGTGCTCATGTTACATAATTCCTAATGTTTGGTCGTTTCTTGCTGCCCCCTTGTGGTAGTATAACGAAAAGCCACTCTGTAGCTCTTTCACAGACCAAGGTCACACAAAGTGCTTTATAATTTGTGCCAGTGGCGGCTGGTGGAATTTTCTACTGGGGGGGCTATGAATATGATGACTCGATATAAATGCACCACAGAATTTGACACAGTCTATTATTTTTGATAGGATGTACCTATTCTTGTCAACCTCCTCATTGTGCTTTCTGATCCCCACCCTGTAACTTTCATCCAGCTGGGATGAAATATTTATCTTCCCAAACATAGCTAATTTGAGGGCATTTTGCATGTGGATACCAGTCTGCTCATGCTTCTTCGCCTTTTCTAAAAAGTGCTTCAGATCAGTCATACCTGTCTTGATCCATGCTGGGTCAGATCCTGATGTTTGAAACAAGAGGCATGGAAAGCAAAATAAAGCATTAGCCTCACTACATGCTGCTAGCCAAGATTTGGCGCTGAACCAGGTCCTGGAAAAAGTACGAGTGTACCGTCTCCCCCTGTCGCTGGACTGCTGACTAATGGTAATATTTGGCTGATCAGGTCCAAGCTCTTTAACCTCAACCTTCTCCTGGTATGATCTTCTCTCAAACGGTATTGTTTTGAGTGATCTAACTGAATTATTCTTTTTCTCGTTCTCCATTTTGCGTCTCTTTACGTTCGTCTCAAACTCCCACAGCTTGACCTGTCAATCACTGTAAACGGACGTCACAGACAGTGACAGTACAGGTCGCGGGCGATCCCGCCCCCTCAGGGCGCACTTCTCCTGCGCCCCCAAATCGTCTTATCTCTTGCATTGAAGAGGAGCTACTGCGCATGTACAACTTTTAACGAGAGTCCATAGACGCCTCAGGGCGCAATCTTTTGCGCCCTGAGGCGGAAATACGTCCTCAGTCCGACACAGACAACGCTGATGAGCTTAATCAATCCAACTCAGCATAAACTATAAAGTATTTCTTCCACATCTGAAATAAAACACACATACATTTCGAAATATTTTAATGTTATTATTTTTTTTAACGTTTTATTTAAGGTAACATGGCAAGTTGTGAGTGGTGGGGCGGCGCCCTAGCGCCCTCTATTGGCCGGCCGCCACTGATTTGTGCTAGTCCAGTAATTTCCATTCACTCCACACAGTGATGACAAAAGCGAGACGCAGGACACCCGGTGCATTCAATCCCCTGACCATCACTCATTACATTCAGACCTTTTGTACATGTTTTTAGTAGTAGGTGAAAGTAGAAAACCTGCAGGAAACCTATGCAGACACGAGGAGAACATGCAAACTCCACACAGAAAAGCCTGGAGGTGGAACAAACCCAGGACCTTCTTGGTGTAAAGCACAAGTACTAACCACTGCACGTTTGCCATGTTTTCCAGTCAATAATGCGGGCGTTGGTTTGCTGGGACCGTTGGAAAGCATCAGCATCGAGGACATGAAGCGAGTGTTTGAAACCAACTTCTTTGGCGTGGTTCGAATGATCAAAGAAGTGATGCCCGACATGAAAAAGAGGCGATCGGGGCACATTGTGGTCATGAGCAGTGTCATGGGACTCCAAGGTAACCATATATGGTCTTTGTTTCCTTTTTGTTTTTTAAGACAATTATAATTAGTGCTCTACAATAATGTTTTTGTACAATAAATGTTAATGTTCTAATAATTTACAATAAGGGTAATATTATACTGTTAATAATGTATAGTAATGGTAATATTATACAATTGATCATTAATAATAAGGTTAAGTTACAGAATATTTACTCAACTACGTCATCTTTTCACCTACAAAAACAACACATTTGTCAAGACACTACCGTCTGTTATTTATTTATTTTTTAAACAAAACACAAACTTAAACGTACACACACACACACAGATTTAGGACACAAAATAACACCAAATGAAACACAATCATGTACTCTGTATAACTCAAACCAAATGAGTCATAAATATTGACCATAGTTTGTGAGCTCCGCCCTGCTCCACATGTTGATGGTCCTCTCCTTGGCATTGTGCATGTGTTTTGTGGACAGTTTCAAAGAGAAAATGATAATTAAAGTCGTAATCCTCTGTTGATGAGACAGTGAGGGCCTTCCACCTTGTAGCAACCGTTTTTTGGCAGTCGTAAGTGAACCCTCTGTTCACTTTTTGTTTTCCCGAGATGAAAAAAGTAGCGCAGAAGAAAGACAGATCATTGTATCAAATATAAACCCAAACCATTGTGTGTTCATATTCCCTCCCCACATCAGCAGCATAATTTTAATACAGATGTCAGATGTCGTATTGGCAGTCTCTGAAAAACTGCATCATTCACTCTTTGTAGCTGATGCCTTGATTTCTCAGTCATAACAAATATACAAAAGGCGCTGTCACTGGTAATTATTCTACAGCTGTGTCTCACTAATCATTAAACACTTGTTATGCCTAAAAAGAATTCTGTACAGCTATCTCGAGTTAATGTAATGGATTATACAAAAACAATCACCACATTATTTTCAGGAGTGGTCTTCAATGATGTATACACAGCCTCCAAGTTTGCAATGGAGGGTTTTTGTGAGAGCATGGCAGTGCAGCTGATGAAATTCAATGTCCGGTAAGAACTTCTTGACATTATTTTACTACTTTCTATGAATGCATATCTGAGCGTTTCCTTTGACCACCTGCAGAGTGTCGATGATCGAGCCGGGACCAGTGCACACAGAGTTCGAGACCAAGATGATGGATGACGTGGCGAAAATGGAGTATCCTGGAGCAGACGCAGACACAGTTCGATATTTTAAAGACGTTTACCTGCCGTCCTCTATAGATATATTTGAAGCCATGGGCCAAACACCGGAAGACGTAGCCAAAGTAAGAAAACAATGGGGGAGAAAAAGTACCTTATCTCGCTCCATGGGGTGCACTTCCTGTTGTTACCAAAATAATTCATTTAACATCGTCAATCACTGCATCAATGGTCCTAATTTCTTGTCATTTTGAAATATCATGGAAATAAGTTTGTGTAAGCCCTCAGTCGTACAGGGATTAGTCAAAGCAAAGGAAGGTTTCTCACCCATCATCTGTACTTCTTAGCAAGTTTTCCCGACGTTTCGTCCTCAAACCAGCGAACTTCTTCAGGGAATGAATTCTCAGACCGCGCGTTGGAGATATATATGGAAATAGCAAATACTTCTATATAAGGATCGTTTTCATTGTGTGTGATTGTGAACAGTTCTGCTCAGTGCTCACATGATATGGCAATAAAAGTTGAATCGTCTGAACTTTTAGTGAAAAGCACATAAAACAGAGTGCATTAAATATATATCTGAAGTAATTGTGATAAAATACATCCTAAAGATTAAGAGATGGAGAGAGTACTCACACATTCATTAACCCAAAACCTAAAGCTAAACAACCAAACTTTTTTGTTTCATGAATATATTTAGTTTGTCCTAACAGAGAGCTAATACAGCATGCTGACTGTATATTAATAGAAAACAAGTTATCTTTTACATACTGAGAGCTGATTGGCTGAGTGAGGGTGGTCCTCTCTTTTACACTTTTCCGTCTCAAAATGATGACCTAAAGCTGTGACAGAGGCCAAAAAATACATCTAAAAACGAGTGATACAACCCTATTCTTTTGAGAGCTAGGGGCTATTTACATGGATTTCATGACATACAGTAGCTCATGTTTTGTGGTTTCAAAGTTAGGTACTTCAACTTCAACATATACTTTAATAGCTGCCAAGTAAATGTACCAAGACACAAAGATTATAACTAAATAAATATATTGTATAATGTGTACAAGAGATGACACAAAATGCGATTACAAGTGATTTTTATTGGAAAAATGGCAGCACGGTGGCAAGAGCTTTGGTGTGTACTATCTGGTGCACTCTGTTTTTCCAATGTGGTTTTACTGCAATTCTTGAATCTTGAATCTATTGAATGAAATATGAGCGTCCCCAATCATATTTTTGACAATGGGCTTCCAATAAAAAAAACCTCTGCTTTCTCTTCCAGTGCACTAAGAAAGTCATAGAGTCGAGCAGCCCGCGCTTCCGGAACCTGACCAACAGTTTGTACACTCCGATTGTGGCCTTGAAGTACGCGGACGAGACCGGCGGGCTGTCTGTCAACACCTTCTATAATCTGCTCTTCAACTTCGGGCCCCTCATGCACATCACCATGAGCATCCTTAAGTGCCTGACCTGCAGCTGCCTGCGGAGACGCACTATCTCCCCGAACTGAAGAGCTCCGCCCCCTGCCTTATAAGGTCGTGGTTTTGGATAAGTAGGTTAGTCTGTGGTTTAAGGGTCCACGCTCGTTGGTCTCGTTCACTTTCTCTGGAGCCAGTCTAGTTGACTTGGGGGGGAAAATGCTTCACAAAGCTGTTTTAAAAGATGTAAACTGCCTTGAAGCTGGGGTATCTAACTTTCAAACCACAAAAAACAAATAAATAATGAATATATCCTTATAACTAGTTTCCCTTAAGCCTAGCGTACATCGACAGAGAAACTGGGGACAACTAGTTGCAAGGCGGCTTTTGGCAACTGAGAGGAGATGGTGGGAGATGATCAGTTGCCGAAATCGGTCGATGTGCGCGCTCTTACAACTGGAGATGATCAGTCGGTCTCCAGTTCCAGTCAGTTGCCCGTGTTCTACTTTTCGGCAACTAGTTGTCCTCAGTTGCCCCGATGTGCGCGCTCCATGCGCCGCTCCAACAACGTGTGTGTATTGCGAGCCCGCAACAGTTTGTTGTCAGAAAACACACTGTAGTTGAGGCCAGTTGCTGTCGATGTACGCGCTGTTATTCAAGAGACTGGCCTGCGACTCAGAGTTGCCCGTTTTCGCCAGATTGTCGATGTGTGCGGGGCAGCAACTCAGAGGCGACGGATATAATCAGTTGCCAGTCCGATGTACGCTAGTTTCCACATACATGTATTTTTAGCCTCTGTCACTTCGTCAGATCTTTAGCAGCTTTTTCAGACAAAAAAATACAAATGTTTTCTAGAGGGAAGGCGTATGTTGTGGTTTGATTGATTATATTATTATGAACAAATATAATAAGGTACTACAGCTTTAAGTGACACGTGGACACTTGTTTCATGACTTCCACAAAGAAAGCATTTTTGCCCAAAGTGAACCAGAATCAGTCCAATCAAAGTGAACCTTACTAACAGAGTGAACGCGCCCTAAAAGACAAAACAAAAATGTGCCTTTGAGTTGGAAACCTAACTATAGTAAGCTTCATCAAATCATGCACAGTTGCACATTACTGCATACAAGTGTAGTATCCTGTCCACTTTATTTATATACAGTAGCACATTTTATAAACAGTTCCCAAAGTGCTGCACAGAAACAAGATCAAAATGAAATATCAAAGAAATCTGCCAATTTTGAAGCAATCAAACTACTAGATGATAAATTAAACAGTTAAAATGCCATTAAAAAGATATACATTTTCTAGAATCCAAGCTTGAAGCCATAGAGAGCTGCAGTAACGCCTACGATGCAATAAAAAGGCTTGCAGATCAAAAGATTCAATAACTAATTTACTTTTCTATTAATGATTAACTGCTCTAAAAGGTTGCATTACTTAAACTGTGCAGGAATTAAGAAACATTGAGAACCTTTATTTACACAATAATAAATAAGAATTGAAAAAATCAATGGATAAAAGGTAAATCATATAAAATGGATCCTTCTTGCTGTGGTGTAAATAAGTCGTAGGTTCTGATTGCATTCGTTTACACGGTTGATTTACTACATTATAACAAAGTCAGTATTAATGTTGTTTTACAGTGTTGAAATAGTATTTTGGAGATTTCAGACTAACTGCTTAAATCCCTCAGTTGATGCTCCATAGAGTAGCTCCTCAGTGTTACTGTTTTTATGTAAGTGTTGCAGTAATAAGGTCGTTAGTCTACAGCGCAGACGATTTATGCATGAGCGATGGACTCAAAAAGAACACACAATATGACACAAAAGTTTGGACATTACAGAGCAACAGACATTTTTTTAATGAAGAAATTTGTGCTTGTGCTCACGTGACCTAGACAGCTTTATATTGCATTGATAGTACTCTATTGTTATAACTGGAAGAACTATATTTTAATCTATTGATGATCTAAGTTGTATTTTTTATCAAAGTGCATGTGTGTGTATGTATGTGTGCGTGTGTGTGCGTTTCTTTTTTTAAATTGTGCCTCCTGATTCATAAATAAACAGCCTGATTTTACCCCTTCTCTGTTGTTTTGTAGTAGCAGTAGCAGGCAGTGACCAACAGTGGGCAGTGTTTTCCCATGCCATCGCTTCACCAACCTGTTGACAAGCAGAGGGGTGTGCGGGAATGTGGACTCAATGGCCTGCGATAAAGAGGCAGCTTCAATTATAATCTCTGCGTTTTTGAACTTTCCAAACTCATCTAAAACTTCCACTGCATCAATTTTAACGACAACATTTTTGCCCAGAGATGTGTTTTAGTCTCCAAGTGCATGGGCCCAAGTTAGTGATGTGTTGATGGATATAAAGAGGTCATGGCCTGCTCCTCCATTGAACCCCCAGCCTGCTCGCACACACCCTGCTTTGTACCATGTGAGAGAATGTGACCTGGTTCCCATCCACGAGGAGGGGTGAACTCCAATGGCAATCTACCCCAGACGTACCATAACCCCTCACCAGCTGCCCCCTCTGCCACCAGGCCTGTATCCAGAGCGACCTCACTCAGACCACTTTCAGACTTCTACTCTCTCTCTTTCTCTCTCTCTCTCTCTCTCTCAACATCCCAAAGGGGTCAGTCGTGATACCGGACAGCGGATAACTTGTTGCATATGCGCTGTTTATGTGCATATTCAGCCTATGTGTCTTCATCAGAGGCGACAGCTCAGCAACAATGGAACAAAGACATTGTCAATCACAATCAAGATGGGTGTGTGCGCGGTGGGTGCAGGGCATGCGGTCCACGGGATGCAAGTGGAGGATAGGGGGAGTCTATGTAGGACGCCATGGACCAGAAGGTGGGGGTGTGTCGGATTTTGGAAAATGAGAATCGGGGCTGCGCGTAGACCTTGAATGGGAAATCTGTTTACTAATTGAGTGAACACTGAGTTATAGCAAAGTTTCATTCAGCCAAAGGTCTCACACCATTATTGTGCACTTTTGTTTCACAATCAAGAACATAATAGGTTCGTAATGAGGGCAGCATGACATGATGAGGTCTTGTCTTAACTGGAACGCTCGTAGTCTAATTGTATACACCCTTGTTTTGCTTTCGACGTGGTAGAAGTAGGACTATAGTGAAAGCTTTTTTCTTTGGTGGCAGATGTAATAATTAAAAATATAGGGCATTGTTAATTGTGTCTTAAACAATGTGAATACTATACTGTAGGTACATAAAGGGTGTTTAGGTTCATAATATGTATGGAATTGGGTGAACAATAACAAAATATTACTCCTATCTGTCAAAACATGTATGGGAATATTTATCAGAAAGCATGCATTAACATTGGAGCAAACTGATATCAAATCATATACAGGGTTAATCATAAATTGAAGTTTAGTAAATAATAATGAATAATATAGATTATTCATAACATTTCTCATTGCCTGGTTCAAAGATATCCTGAGTGTATTTGGACCTAGTATAGATCCATGTATCAAGCCACACATATAAGTTTAAGAAAAAACAATGTGATATGAAATATGCGTATATATTTCATTTTTATTGTCAATCCAGTCTGACCAATGCAACATGAAGAGAAGAACAAGTTTATTGTGTTGTTGTCTGTTCCTTCAATTATTTCATTAACTTCCTTTTTTACTGCTTGTGCCAACAGCCAGCCACACCTCATATGCCAAAACCATCTCAGAAGACAGACAACCAAACAGACAGCTGCACTTTTAATATCTTTCTAATTAGGCCAAATATCGTAGAAAAAGACCAGGGAGAGGAAGATGTCTGCAGATGAGCTCATTGTGGCTTGTGTCTAGACAGAGTGCTTGAGTCTGATACAAGTCATGGATCAACACCTTTGTGAGTTCTTTTCTTTCATCTTCCTTTGATTCCTAAAGAGAGAATACCGAGGACACTTTATGAGAACACTTGGACTGGCGACTAATGCCACTGGAACTATATTCATGTGAGCTCTCGGAGAAGCCTTTTGCTGAGATAACTTCAGGACAATAATTATGAAATTGGAATGACTTTGAATTTAGAGCACTGTAGTTTATAAGCCTCAGGAGCTACTATGGAAATTCAAGAATGTTTGCAGAAAGCTGTTTAGCTCGTCAATTGATAAATTCTCTGTTTAGGTTAAATCACTACAATCACATGGCTTTAGGTGTTAACTTTAGGACATTTTGTTATCTCTTAGTTCATTCATTTGATTACTAAATTCATCTCCTCATTCCAAAGGCAGTCTGGAATTTGTGTAAACTGCAAATATAACACAGAATAAATTAAGAGTTGGCTTCTCGACTCTGCCGTTCATGGAGCATGTCCAAAAAGGTACCTCCAGAAGTGAATTCTATTTTTAGGTCAATGCTACTGTGTTATTTGTGAAGGACAGGTAGAGTGGTATTGAACAGATTAATCAGACAAAATTTAAACTTTCAATTTATACATTTGATAAACCAACATTGTAGCCAAAGTTGCCCTGGGGCATACTGGCAGAAGCGAGGCAACCAGGATGTTCAATCTGCCCCTCTTACCACCCCAGCCATTCACACACCCACACCAGACTCAATGTGAATGAAGTGTCTTGACTAAAGACACAACAACAGATTGGCACTATACAGCTGCAACCGCCCCAGTATGGTGCCTGATGTTCCCAGAGGTCTCCCATCACAATACTAACCAGGCCCTGCCATGCACAGCTTCAGAGGTCTGACGGGATCTGATAATACACTTTCTTTTTCAAAAATACTTGATCAATATGTACTGGTCTGAGCCAAGGATGAAGAAAATCCTGTAAAGCAGCAACCCAGTTCAAGAAACAAATGGTTAACTGTGTATAAAACATGGAAAATGAACTCATATTCCAATAACTACAATAAAACACTGGGCCAACAAAGTCACTCTCATCTGATTCATCACCTGATCTTTGCCAACATCCCGAGAGATACAACTGTGACTGGGTCTGCATACAGTAGATCCCCCAGACATATTTTGGATTCATTAATAATGCATCCCCTATTCACTTTATAGCCTTTATCTTGGCTCCAGTCTGTATCAATCCCTCCAGTGTCTG